TGGCCCCCATTTGGGTGCTGCTCACAGCAGTTCTGCTCTGTGTGACACAGGATTCTGTCCATGCAGGATCTGTACACATGTGTGCAACACCATGGCACTGAGAGTTTTTGGGAACTCACGGATATTTCCAGATGTGTGGCTGATGGATCTCTGGGGAGCTCAGTTGAGCTCGTCACCAGCCTCTTACCAGCATTTATCTGCTGGCTTGTGAGTGCAGTGCTAAGGGAAAGGCCATATCCCAGCTCTATGAAACAGGCTTTTTCCTGGCAGCACTGTCAGCTGGGAAAGCTGAGCTCTCTGTGTGGTCTGTCCTATCTCCCCAACCCTGAGATGCTGTGCAGTTTTCCTCCCAGAGTCTGGAAACCAGAGTACCAAATGCACTTTCCCACGCACGTACCCACAAATGCCTGTTTAGAAGGGCCAGATCTTATGTGGTGTCACTGGTGATGCCTTTGCTAGAGATTCATCCCTGTGTGTTATTTCAGGAATGATTACTGCTGCAGTTTGGGTCTGGTGGTGGGACAACGTGCTCCTTGTGCTTTATTATTGCCCTTTCTGTGGAAAGGGCACGCGGTGTTTGCCAAAAGCCAGCGCTGTGGGTTTCGGTCTCTGCGGGTTGAGGGAAGTCTGCCCTGCCACTCATGCACCCTCTGACCACAAAACCCCAGCTTTATACTGACCTCGCATGAGTGATGTGATCCAGACTGGAGCAGATGGGGCAAAAAGACCTTTTTTGGCTGGTGCTTTTCATTTTGTGGGAAGCAGTTAAATCACTGGAAGCAGCAAGGCAGGATGGCAGCAGGATCTGCCCGCCCAGTGGGGTTTGGAGCTTCTCTTCCATCATGCCCGAGGATGCTGATGGTACAGACAGCGAGGTTAAAACTTTGCCAACACAGGCAAGCTGGGCTGATTTTTAAGCTGACTCAGTTTTCAAACAGTCTCTTGGGCTCAGTCCCACGAGGGTGTGCGTCAGCTTCAATTGTTTCCTGATAGACTTGGATCATAAACAGTGAACAAGCCTTTGTTTAGACCGTGAGAGGAGCCTTTGGCACTGCACCAGCAAAACTCCCTTCTCCTGCACACAAGTTCTGTGCAGCCCAGGGCAGCCCTCGTGTGCCAGGGATCACCCCTGGGGCTGCTCTGGAGACTCCTGCAAACTCTCAGGAGTTGCAGAGGTTCTGGAAAGCACCTAAAAAATGTGGGTTCTTGAAGCAGAAAGGTTTGTGTCTCACCCATGGGCAGGTGAAGTGCAGTGATGGGAATGAGATGTGCAAAGTAAAGTGTCTTTTGAGGGTTCTGAAATGGACTGTTTATTTATCCCAGTGTTTAACTGGAGCACTTAGCTACAGACCATGCATGAGTTGGTGTGTGCAGAAACCATGTTCTCTAAATCATGTTTTAAAACTCAAAAATAGAAGTAGCCCAGTATGTGCAGGGTTTGGGAGCTGAGCTTGTGAAGAAAAAGGGCTGAAAGAGTGGTCTGTTTGGGATGACCATGGAAGGATAAGCTGGATGTGGTTGCTGATACAGAGGATTAAAACACTTTGCCCTGCTGTAACCTCTTTCCTTGGACCCCCCTCAGTGTGCTGTGTCAGTGCTGATGGACGATTTGCTGGGTTCTGTTGAGAGGAATTCTTTGGGCTGAAGTTCTCAGAAATCAGTTTGATGTGAAATTCAGGTCTGAGCTTCCACCAGCCACCTGGACCCACTGCAGCAGAGGTTTGGCAGCTGAAGGGGAAAAGCCTCTTACTGGAGAGGCAAGATGATCCTGTCACATTTGTACCAGCAAAAATTTGGGTTTTTTACTTTGTCAGCTTCTTTTCCACGTTCTCTTGTGCATCATTTCACTTCCCTGGCAGTTCAGTTGCTGGGAGATAATACTGGAGACAAATTTAATTATCTCTTTCAGGGTTATGTTGGACGTAATTTGCAGCACAGAATGTCAACACTGTGTACTTACTCCACAGCATTTTAGCACATTGTTTCCTTCTCAACAAGGAGTTTTTTTCAGAGGATGCAGGGAGGGCTGGGAGATGGGAACCCCCACACAGCACCCAGGGTGGACGCTGCTATTTCAGGGGCTGCTGCGGTGCTTTGCGAGAGAACAGCTGAAAAAGAATAAAACAGATAAAATGAAAGCTGATGGCACCTGGCAGCTTGCTGTGGATATTACACAGAGGTAGAAAAAATAGGGAGGTGTCAAAACTCGTGGTGTTTTCATCTCGCTTTGGGGATGCTGGTTACACAGCGAGGAAGGTGTTGCTGGCAGAGAGCGCTGGGAGGGAGCGGCGTGCGCTGTTGCCTTCCCGAAATGTGTTGAGGCTTTAATTAAGGAATGACTGCAATGTGTTTCCAGACCTTCCAGTGGAAAACATGAAATAAAACCTTGTCTTTCATTATTTATTTTTTTTTTACCTGTGTTAATTGGCCGGGCTGAGGCTCCCAGGGTTCACCCATCCCCAGGCCCAGAGCAGTACGTGGTTCTTGCTGCAGGGTCGCTGGCGGGAGAGGAGCTGTGGGCATGTCTGAGGTTTAGCACGGGCTGACATCCCGTTGAAATCTGTGGGATTAAAACCCTTGTTTCAATTTAAGCGCGGTGACAAATGAGGTGTTGAAAAGCATGGGTTTAAATATGCTCTTAAACCCGTATTTCCTGGGAACCGGGAGGTACATCCGTCAAACGCTTGCGGAGCTCAGGTGAGAAATGGCTCCTGGCTCACGCTGTTCCCAGCTCGTGCTGACACAATGTTTTCCATACACCGTGCCCTGCTGGTATCTGTGGATCTGGAGTTTCTACCTGAGCTGCTGAAATCACCTGTCACTGCGTGCCTTTGGTGCAGATGGAGCCGGGAAGGTATCACCCTGCATTAAATCAGCTTTTGATTAATGGTAGTCACTGCGTAGGCACTTGGATATGTCTGGGAATAAACTACCCCAATTTATGTCAAGACTTCGTTTTTACAGAGTGGATTGAACAGAGAAACTAAAAACCACAAGTCCCGCACTGGTGTTTCTGCTCCAGCCATCTGCAGAGACGCCCTTTTGTCCTGTTTGTTGGGGTTTTTTTACCCTGAGAAAACCTGATGTAATTGTTTTCCTGTACACCCAGAGGTGATTTGTCAAAATCCCAACTGCTCCTTGGTAATTCAATATTTATGATGTCTTTATAAGGCCGGTCCCGCTCTGCTGACTCGGAGGCGAGGGGGAAAATACATTGCATAAATTAGGCTGCATGAAACACGAGCTCACAGCTCTGCCAGGGCACCTGGGCAGGGAGGACGTGAAGGCAGCAGTAATTGGGTGTCCAGCAGCATCTTCCTCAGCATCTTCCTCATCCTCCCTGCCTGGCTTGTCCCAGCACACAGAAAATCCTGAGCCATCTCTGTGATCAAAGACCCCAGACCGAGTGCTTATCGTAGGGTTTCCTGTTTGAGTTCCTGTGTCTTCTCTAAGATGTTTCATGATGCAGCAGTTTGATAAAACCAGGCAGACACCGCCAATTGTCGCATCTTGGTCTTTTTTATCATTATTGAACTTTAGGTCGGGTTAATCTCTGCTTGTGACCTTTCAGAGAGCAAGCAAGGCAGAGCAGGATGGGTGGTTTATGTTATTGGATGTCACAGCACGTATGTGAAGATCTTGAAATGAGACATGATTGAACAGTCCAGATACTGGGGGTTGTATTTTGTTTTATTTTTTGGAACCAAAATTTCCAAAGTTTAGGAACCAAAATTTAACCAGAATTAAAGTTTTCCAAGCCAGTATCCTTTGTGGTGAAAGTTTTACCTGAAATTGAGAGGACACCAAAATCCCTGTTTTCGTTCAAGCCTTTTTTTTTTTCCTAAAAAATAAATGTTTTGAGAGTTTCTGCTGAGCTCTGTTGCCAAGATCTCCATCAGCTCACAAAGCCCCTGTTTGCTCTTCTGTGAAGCACTTCTGACAGTAATGGATGGGTAGTTTGCTTTATTTAATCCATCTCTGTAAAATTTTAGTGCTGAAAGCTATTGCGTAGTGTCCAATGATAACAGTGCATCCTTGCAGCTTCTTATCAATCAGAGGGGGATTTTTTTTCCCCCTTACAGATTTTGGAGCACGGTTCCAGCACGGTGTCAGCTCCTGGAGCCTCTTTGAGGTCGGAGCATCCCTTGGGTGTGATGGCAACGCTGCAGACCCCTCACCTGGTGTCCCTCCCTTGTCTCTGCAGGAAGGGGACTCCCTGGGGGCCATGGAGAAGCTCTGCCGGCAGCTCACGTACCACCTGAGCCCCCACTCGCAGTGGAGACGCCAGGGCATCATGAAGAGGAAGCCGCAGTCCTGGTGAGTCGGTTTGGAAACCGCTGTCACCCCGGTGGGTCGCTGTCCCCAGCCTGGGCCTTGTGCCCTCAAGGCCACCACAGGCTCAGGAGAGCAGGAAGGGGGATTTTTCATGTTGTTTTTAGCTGTGCTGTGCAAATGTGGGTGCTGGTGGGAGCTGCCTGCAGTGGCGGGAGGAACAAATCCACTTTGGCTCAAAGCCATTAAATGCTCCTGGAGGGAGCCAGGATGTCAAAACCTCCCAGCTTGCCACAACCTCCAGAATCCTCTGTTGTCTCCAATCTCACCAGTGTTTCCCCCATTTGTGGTTGTGTTATCAGGTTGCTTCATGCTGAACCAGAGGTGTTTTCCTCCTTTTCCGTTTTCCTTTCCCCGTTGCATCCTGGTTTCCAGAGAGCAGCACAGTAGCACCCAGGGAGGGAAGAACAGGCTGGAAAACCTGAACCATCCATCCTCCAAACATCCCGTGCTGGGCATTGGAGAGCAGCAGACAAACTACTCCAAGACATCCTAATTAGGTGGTAATTAATGTACAGGCACCAAGAACACTGTGGCTTGCAGTGTGTTTACACAAAAGGAATTTTTTTATTAAAAATGGGGAGAAGATGACTCCGATCCCCTCCTCATCCAGGTCCTCAGCAAAGCATCCTGGATCCACAGAGCCAAGAAACCTGTGGATGAGGCTGAAGGGAATAGAAAGAACTCCTTGTTTTCTATGATGTTATGCACTATATATTTACTATTTTTGTATAAGGAGGTAAGAAATAGAAAAGAAGCCACAATCTGGCAAAGTCAGAATTTTTATCCAAGTGCTGGCTCATGGTTCCAAGAGAGGTCTGGTTCCTGTTGTAGTAGATGCTGTTTTTAGCCATAGTAGAAACTAATCCAGTGAGAAAACTGGGTCTGGAAAGACAAGAAGAGGGGAGGAACATGGACACAGGAGGAAAACAGACACAAGCAAATAAAGGATTGTGTGGCCTAATAGGATTAGGGCCATATATCCTGGAGATCTGGCTCAGCACCCATACACACTGCTGTCCTTAGAGACTCAAACGTGGAGAAACACCTCCATTTCATTGGCAGTGGGAACTGCTTTTGGTGTTGAGCATGTTTAAGGTGTACTGGTGACTAAAATTTGCTCTTTCCAATAAAGCAGCAGAAACGGAGGGAGCATGTTGGGGATGTGTCCCTCAGGCTGGGCTCAGCACACAGAGCTGGGTAATGACCCAGCAGCTCATTGCCCTCTGGGGTTTTTTTCTTGATTGGAATAGGAAATGCACACCCCTTGTCACCCCATCAGGGCATTATCAAAGTTATGGTGATGGGGCAGTGGGGAGCTCTCTGCAGCCCAAAACAGAAGAAATTCTTGAAAATGAAAAAATTTAAGGCGGTGCTTTGTGCCACTCTGTCTTTAATTGCCAATCCCCGTCCTTAATCATCAGCTTGGAGCTGCTGTGGGAGCACATCCTCGTGCCAGAGATTTGCAGGGCTTTATCTGACAAGGCTGCTGGAGCACTTGCCTTTCCTTGGAGCAGCCGGGGAATAGCTGAGGTTTTTCACGGTTTTAACTGCAGGGATGAGGTTTGGGCAGTAAACGAGGCCCTGAGCACATGGCAACGACCCCAGGGCTGTGAACATGGGACACAGTGGGAACATGGGACACTGGCTGCTGGCTCTGCCCAGGCCAGGGTTTGGAGGATGGGATTTGCCTGGGTTTCTGGTTTAGATGCTCTGTGAGTTGCAGGCAACCCTTTACTGGAAGATGAGGTCAGCCTTTTACTAAGGTCTAAATGCCACGATGTAGAGGTTATAAGGAGACTAGAGAGAGCATCTGTCTTGTCTGTGCTGGAGCAGTCACTGCTTTATTCATGTGCTGGCAGTTCCCCTGCCAGGAATGCTCCTGATCTCTGTGTAAGTTGATTCCTTGCACAGCAGGTATTTCCCCAGAGTCCCCCCTCTGGGTTTGCCAGTGCCTTGACATGCTTCCAAGGGAGTAATGGGGTCCTATTCCCAGGTGTTGGTGTTGCCTTGGCTCAGCCCCTGCTGTCAAATGTCTCAGGAACTTTCAAATATTAAGTTTCCACACTTTTCTGTGTGTCTGTTGGCCATCCACACCCTATCAGTGCTCTGCCCTGAGGCTGCTCCTCCTGCCATTCCCAGCTCCAGCTGGGAAAAACAGGACAGGGGCTGCTGCAGAAGAGATGTTGGTTTTTCCTTTCCCTCCCCTCCTTCTCCCTGCAGCACCGACCTTGTAACATCCCTGGGCTGCACCTGTGAATAACACTTTCTTAAGCCATTTCTCCTTTTTCTTTGCTCTTTCTTAGTTCTTTCTTTTAATTTTCTCTCCTTCTTGTTGGAGAGGAAGTCTTCTGACAACCTTGGGGTTAGAAAGGGACAATTTAGAGTCACCTCCTGTCCTGTGTTGTGACTTCCCTGGAGGATGCACCCACAGGAAGCATTAGCTCTATATTTGGATGTGGAAACCTGGTCCCTCACCTCCTGCACAGTGATTCTGGTCCTTGTCATGAATGTTTTGGCTTTGTCTCTGGTTCCCTGCTGATAATATGAATTAGGGATTGCTAAAGGATAACAGCAGGGGCAGTGGAACCCATCATGGAGAAGTCCCAGTCCAGAACTGCAGAGTTCCTGGAGAATGCTTTGTTGATTAGGAATCTGTATCTCAGTGATACCTTGTGCTCCTGGGTCCCATCTGCAGAGGCACAGTCATTACTGTACTGCCTCCTGACAAGCCCAAACACACACATCATCCTCTGTGGTGGGGCTTTATTAGGAGGCATCATTTCTGTGAGCTCACGGCTGTGCTCCACAATCCCCTGTCCCCTGCAGCTGGGCTGGAAGTGCTGGAACAGTTTGGGAAAGAACTGGAGTTTAATTATTCCTACAATCAGGAATGGTGGGAGTGCTTTTGTAGGAGATGGGTGCATTAGTGCAGTGCTGATCCCTCTCTTTGATCCAAAGTTGTGGAATCAAGGGGGTCTCAGACACAGTGGGATGCTGAAGGGGCGGTGGCTTCTGGATGTCATTGTATTGCCACCTCCTTGGATGCACAGAGTCAAACTTTTAGTGGGATAGCATTCCTTCTTCACTGAGTGCCTGTTGGCATTTCCAATGGGCTGTGGGGGATGCAGCCAGCAGCAGAGGGGTGGATCAGTCCCTCCTGGACCGGCTCCTGGGACCCCCTGGTACCTTTGCTGAGGTCTCGCTGGCATGGTGAGTGAGAGCCCTGCTCAGCTCAGCTGAGTGCTGAGCAAAGCCAAACAGCCGTAATTAATCTCACCAGAAATATGGCAAAATAATTACAAGGGAAAATTGCTTTTCTTTATTCCACAACTGCCATATCCATTACAGGTGATAATGGGAAGCAGAGCAGCTGGAGGAGGAGGATGGGGACGGATGATAGAGGGGACTGGAGCTGATTTTGCAGTCAGTCAGTCGTGCTGTGGTCAGGCAGCCTGCTGTGTAGGCAGAGGGGGAGGCTCGTGCTTCCCAGTTCCATCTCATCCCAGGCATCACGTCCAGCCTGTGTGTGCACAGACAGAGCTAAATGGAGGGAGACGCTCTCAGCCTTGGCTGCCCTGCTCTGCTGTGTTGCCTGGCACCAGAGCACCCAAACCTGTGCCAAATGACCTTATTTTTTTTGCATATTATAAATCTGTCTGGCTCTCCCTTGCTGTCTCTGTGCCTCCCTCTGAATTGCATGCATTAAACATCCAGGATGAGAGGATAGCCAATAGCAGGAGGATGAAGCCAGCCTGCAAAAGTAATTTGTATGTCCCTGGCTCTGCCTAGGGCCACGATTACAGTCCAGTGTTTAACTAGCAAGTGTTGAATTGGATCCTGGAATCTCCCTGCTCCTCCTGCTGCCAAGTGCTCGCTTCAGCATCACAAAAGCAAAACTGGGAATCAAAGCTCCACGTGCCTGTAATTGCTTTGGAGAACAGGCTGGATGCTCTGTGGGGAGGGAGGAGGTGTTTCCCTGGGGCTTTGCCATGTCTTTCCTATCCCTTTGGGATATCCCATTACTGTTCCTTTCTGTGTTGCTGCTGTGTCCAGGAGAGATAAAAGGAGCCAGGGATGCAGCAGGGAGGATCCTGCCAGGGATGCAGCAGGGAGGATGGAGCAGTGGTGCCTTCCCCACTGGGCTGAGCAGTGAGCACCAGCTGAAGGAAGATTGACAATTCATATCGTAACTCCAAATCTAGCCCCATTTTCCATCAGGTAAAACCCACAGTTCCTGTTGATGCCACTGGAGCACGAAGCACGGAAGGATTTAGGGTGAAGCAGCTCAGTTTGAGCACTGTTATTAAATGGGGTGAATCTGGACCCAAATTTGTGGATTTTCTAACTCTGTTGTTGCTCTGCAATAAGCAGAGAACCCCCTAAAAAGATTTTGTAGGTGGCTTTACTTAGCTCCAGCCAACTCTCTTCTCATTGCCACTTGTCCTTTCTGCTGATGGCAGGGCCAGCCTGGGGTTCTCCTTTACACCTGGGAGTCAGCCTGAACTCCCCTTGGCTCTCTTAAGACTCTCTGAGGTGAAATAGTTAGAAATCAATTTGAAAGTACCTGGCTAAAAGTGCAAATAGTTTGGGACACCTTTTGGAAATCAGGAGGCCCCTTCAGGCTGTGGCAGATTTTAATCCCTGGTTACCTGTGGGTTGAATGTTCTCCATTGCATTTGGCATCCAGGTAGAGAGACCTGTTAAAACAGAAGAGAAGGGTGCTTTGATTTAGTGATGAACTTGTGGAGGCTGAGCAGCCTTATTTTGTTGGTAGGAACGATCTTTTAACATCCCACTCCTAACTTCATCAGGGGCACAAAACACTTCTGTCCTGGAGGAATGCTGGGTGCTGGTTTTTTCATACTTGCTTGCAGTGCCTGCTTGAATTCCTTTATAAGGCAAAAAAAAAAAAAAAAAAAAGGGAGTTTTCAAGGGAGAAGCCCTTTTGAAAACAGAAAGAGAACGTTTGTGGATGGAAATCCTCCGCTGCTGCCGGCAGCTTGTGGGCGAGCGATAGGAGAAGTTGTAGCTCCTGCAACAAACGGTCCCTTCAGAGCATCCGACACAAATCCACTGTCGGTGGGAGGAGGCTGGAGCAGGAATTATGCAGTGTCTCCTCTTCATTAGAATCCCTCTGTGTGTCTGTGTGTGCACAGCAGGCTGCTGGTCACTGCTGCAGGAGAGCAGAGGATTTGTGATCCAAAGCCTTTGGGACGCGCGTGTGGGCGATCCCTGCTCTCTGTGTCCGTGGGATGTTGTTGTGCCCTGTGTTACACGACTGTCCCAGAGAGCAGAAGGGAGACAACAGCAAAGTGCTTTACAGGACATGGAGAAAATGCCACAAACCCCAGAATGAGTTATTGGCTGGTGCTGTGTTTTCAGGGGGTGTTCTAAATCGCTCTACCTTTTACAGTGGAAAACAGGCAATTTCCAAACATTTCCAGCACAGCCTGAGGCTTCGTGCATGTGGAGAAAAGCAAAGTTCTGATTCTTGGTGGTTCTTTGGGCTGCCTGGGGTTGGGAACTGAGGCCTCATCAGTGGGATGCTGGGCTCTGGCTTACAGGTGGGTCCTGCATCCCACAGGAGGAGGTGGGTGAGGCACAGAAGTGCTCCTGGCCATGGTGGATCTTCTGACCTTTACTGGGTTGTATCACAACAACCAAGGTCTGCAGCCTCGTGGTCACTGAGTCCATGAATCCTTGTGCTGCCATCCTCCTCAGGAGCTAAATACCTGCTTTGGTGGCTGCGATTTGGTGATGGCTCAAAAAGATGGTTCACCCCCGGGGAGGGACAGCCTGTGGCCCTCTGCACCCTGTGGCTGCCAGTGTTTGTCCTTGTCCTTGCCCAGGCGTGTTGTCACCAAGCTCCAGCCACCTGTGGCTGTGACACAGAGCTTGGGTTGTCTCTGACATGATGATTGCAGTGAGGATGCAGGAGGGAAGCAATTCATTCCCAGGGTGGGCACTAAATACCAACTGCTGCCTGCCTGTGCCTGGAGGCTGTTATTAAGGGCTGTGCTGGGGTGAAGCAGAGCCTCCCCCTCTGTGTACCCTGCAGCATAGAAACATGGTGGTTATTCACTATGTTATTTCTGTTAATTGCCCTAAGAACACAGGAGAGGCCACCTCCAAGCATGTCCTGCCCTGCTCTTGTGGCTGAGGTTTGGAAATTAGAATTTATTCTCGGCGTATTGTTGTGGTTCAGCACTCAAATCCCAGCCTGGCTGAGGCAGACCAGGTTTTCCTCTGGAAATATTGAATGGCCACCAAAAGTGTCTTGCAAGGTGTCTGATGTCTGGTTGTCCCTTGTCACCAGGGCCATGCAGGAGGGAGTCCCAGGGCAGCAGGTCCTGCAGAGCCATTTGATGCAAAGGGGTGTCCCTGCCTGAGCAGGGCTAACTGGGAATGGGGAGGGTTAACCACGGGCACTGAGTAATCCTCCACTAATAGATGATGACTTAATGTGATGGGAAGACCTGGAGTGACCCAGAAGTCAGAAGGGAGCTAAGATTTTGGGAGAGAGAGTGGAAAACAAGGGGAGGATGAGCAGGACAAAAGAAACCTCCCCCTTGGCTGCTGTCAGAGACGTTCTGAGTGATTTTGCAGCTTGAGGCCGTGTCCTGTGTGCCCCAGCATGGCTGTGGTCAGGGTTGCCACTGGCATCAGCTGGCTCGTGGTGCCTCCTGCCTATCTCATGTGTTTGCTTGGCCTCTTCTGAGGCATCAAACTCAGACTTATAAAGCACTTTGTTCAGCCTTATTCCTGAGTTATTAATGCCAGCAATAGCAGGGTGTGGGGTGTGGTGTTCCCTCTGTATCAGAGGGTACTCGGCCCCCACGGAGCAAATCCCAGATGTGCCCACGGGCAGCACTGGCATCACGCAGGGCTGAGGATGCCTGGCACCTACAGCAGCTCCTTTGGGAGATACCTTTGGTTTGGTCTGGTTCACGCTGAGCCAGCATGCATAAACCTGGAATATTTTCTCTCCTTTGGCAGAAATGTTTGGAAACTTGCGGTCCTGAAGAGCGGTGGGGGCTGGTTCCAGCAGCGCTCTGGGATCCGGCTCTTTGCCAAGCAAACGAGCAGGTTTGCTGGGGTTCAAGGCATGCACCATGGCCAAACAAAAAAGGAAAAAAAGAAACCTTTAGAGGTACCAGCAAGGAGCTGGGAGAAATATTTGGATGTGGATGATTTTACAGTTCATATCCGAGGAGTGCACTTTTCATCACCTCTGTCCTTCTCACCTCGGTCTCCTCCATGGCCATGGGGCATTTCCTACATCTGCCAGTCTGGGACTCTTTGGACTTTTTATAGTGACTCAAGATGTGACTTTCTATTTCTTTTATAGCTGGGATTGGAACAACCATGATTTGACCTGTCACTTGTTCAGTTCTCAGTGCTCCTCCACATGATGCTGCTTCTGGGCTCCTGCCTCTTGAATTTATTCCCTTTGGCACATGCATGGCTGGAAGCACAGTGCCTTCTGTAGTTTTGCTCTCTGATGGTCTGTGTGACTTCAGAACTGCCTGGTCAGGGGCTCCTTTGTTTGTGGAAAGTCCATTTTCCAAGATAGCTGAACTGGAGCAACCTTTTGGGGGCTGGTCCTTTGCAGGCACCAAAGTACCTGGCCAGGATTTTTTGCTCCACGCTGGCACCCCAACAGAAGGGTTTGAATGAGTGTGGTGGAGAGGTTAAGCCTGGGGTTAAATATGCCTAAATTGCTTCAC